TCTCAGGGAGAATTCGTTGTGATTCAAGCATATTTAAAGACCGATCTTCACAATCTTCAATGGGTGAAACTGCAGTAGCTATTATATTGTACAGCAGACTAGGACGGTCTCTATAGTGAGATATTGATGCAAGAAGCGATGACCAAACTGTGATAACCAGGTTAATGTAAACTGGCCTGTAATAATGTTCAGAAAGTTTAAGAATGAAACGTTTTTCCACAGTTTGCAAGTTAAACCCAGGTTTCTTATCACTTCTATTAACCCGAAGATGGAAGTAAGACAATGAAGGGCGGGAGTCGGGGGACAAAGGGCCGCTAAAGTACAGGAAGCGGGAGAACGTGAAACGAAAAGTGGGTGCAGTGACTCTCCCTGTCCTTTCCGCTCTCCAAAGGCCGTAAGGAAATTTATACTTTCCGCTCTTCTAAACGGGTGTTAGTTTAAGTCAATCAGCTCTTCATGATAATGAAGTACTTGATCTATCGAACATCGATACTCATAGTTCAACTATCATCTTTGATCAATCAGCATGATTTCCTGACCTTAAAAAATCTTAATCCTTTAAATAATTTTCGAGATGAAAAATCTGTTTGGCTCACATAGTACGGTATCGTCATTCTCATATGAGTCCCTCACTTTTATATCACAAATTTGGCGCTGGAAAATGAGTATCAAGTAACATGAGTAGAGACGAAACTTATCGCGATCTTCTATTACAGCGCGTAGAGCGTCAGTGGACAGCATGGAGACCGTTTATTTATAGTCCCGAGTCCCGCCAGTTGTATCCCTTATCCCGCTTCCTTGCCGCCTTTAACAATGGATAAACTTGGAACATCTGCCGAAGACAAACGTCGAAGAGTTTTTCTAAGATCTATCTTAAACTACTATTTATTTTTACTCTTTGGAATGGTCACTGAATCAGTTGCTAGAAATTAAGAAAGTTACATTGGCCACATCCAAAAAAGGGCAGTGTATATATTTTCCTTGGAATGATCAGAAAATACGAGGAAACAAGAAAAAACTGCTGACTTCCACAACAAAAGTCTAATAAGCTAACTTGGAAACGATTAAAGATAATGGTTAATATGAACATGCAAACAAACATCATCTCCTTAATCACAATCTAAAAGTTACCTATTGAACAAGAAACAAAATCTTGCTGCCATTATTTTTTTCACCTCATAAAAAATCACACAGTAGACATTTGTTCCAGTCCTATTTTGAGATCCATGCATTTTCTTTTCTCGATCTTTAATTTCAAGCAGGTGACCAAAACCAAGTTTCTCTAAAGATGCTACATCAAAATCCTTCTTCAAATACTTAAGGTTCTGTTAACTAATCCTAAAAAATTGGCTTTGGGAAAAACCCTTCCAGACTTAGGTGGCTCGTTTAATACTTTAATCATAATAATTGTACTTTACAAAAGGGCATCATGCCAACAAAGCTCCGTGCAAATGGTACAATGTAATTTGTTCTGTCAAATTATGTGTGACTCCCTGGCTACTCGGGTATGCCGGGTAGTTTTAGTTGTTACACTGAGTTGTCAAGTAGCTGGCGCTGTAAACACATTTTTGTTTCATTACTTGAAAATTTTGAAATCACGGTAACACTACTGGAGATGGCCTCGTTTTTTTTTTGAAAAATTTAACGGACGATACTCATCTGTCTGAACATAACTTGTTATTGTAACTTTTATATAGAATAAACCTTTGCCTGAGAGCCTAACCAAGACATTTCGCTATGCAAAATACCCAGTAATGAAATATCTTAAAGATTCCCTTTTTCTTGAGCTAAACAATTAAAAAATATTTAGGGTCTGTTCCATCCAAAAGTCTTTTAACTCTGTTTCTTTGAAGTCATTCTCGTCACTTTAACCGTCAGGGTCTTTTTTCCTGTGACGAATGTTAATAACAACAAATTGTAAAACAAATTACAATCATACCAGGCGCAATAGCAAAACGAAGGAAAACGTATGGTTTCCGCTTACATGTATATCTCATTGATAGAGAGGCACTTTCGAAATTCTAGATTTTACACCAAAGAGAGAGCGTCAATTGTTACTCTCCAAATCCAAGTAAATATCGAACTAGTCTTTATATTCAAGGTCACGGATGGCCACCTCTAGTCATCAGCGACAGGTAAGTCATAGCCACCTTGAAAAGTAATATAACTAAAACCTTTTATCGATGAATCTTACCTCTGCCTGCCAAAATCGAGCCTCACATCATCTCCAATCAGCGTAAACGAAGCCCACTCAGACACTTTGGTAAAGCCGTTATTTCTCATCCACTTCATGGCATGATGAAGAGATTCACTGGCACTTTTTCCATCAACAAGGTGTTCGTAGAATCGACTCATCAGCTGCTGTGTAGCTGAGTCTGGAATGGCCCAAAGTGCTACCAACACCGAGCGAGCACCAGATCCTAAGAACGCACGGGCAATTCCTATAACTCCCTCGGCTGTTATCTGTCCACTTCCACTGTGACAGCAGCTAAGTACCACCAGTTTAGCTCTGACTTTCACTCGTGAGACATCAGCCATCGTCAACATATAAGCTTCCTTTGGTGGGATAGTGTTTGGACTGTTGGGAGTGGGAGTGGGGGAGAGGGCAATTTCTCCTCTTTCAGCGTTACCATGGGCAGCAAAATGTATCAGGCTCACTGAGCTTATCCTTTCAAGTACGACCTGCTTCGTTGCTTTCTCTTCTACCAGGGGCGGAACGCCCACAAGTCGTCCGACCATCTCCGCTTCCTTTCTAGCACCTGGTAATGGCAGCAGCCAATCAACCTTGGGATTGCCTATTATCAAGGCACCAGTGTTGCTGTGATAGTCCTCTGGACTGTCTTGAGTGATCTTGAGTGTCATCAAAGAAGGAATGACCCGGATGATATGCGTCTCCGAGAGGTATTTGGCTCCCTCCTTTTCACTCAAGGCAGCAAAGGGAACTTTGTACAAAGTGCGGTCAGGAACAATCATGACTTCAGGCTCCTCGAGCAAATCATAAACTGGGGCAATAAAAATTAAGTAACACAGAGATAGACTTGATTTAACTTCCTCGTCCTCCTCCACCAGTCGCACCCTTGCTGAGCTCTTTTTCTCAGGGAGAATTCGTTGTGATTCAAGCATATTTAAAGACCGATCTTCACAATCTTCAATGGGTAAAATACCAAGACTCCGGAAGTTATCAGCCAAAAATGTACTCAGAGGCAAATCTTTGGCCAACCCAGCCTGAACGAGATTCTCTTCTAGTGATATTGATTTAAAATGAATGGTTCCACTTCTTTTCAAGATCCACAAATGCACGCGATTCCGATAATAAGAAATGTAAAGACAACTACAGTTGTTTTCCTTTCTCAAAATATTTTCAATGCCAAACCAAGATTGTGGATTAGAAGAGATGTGCATTTCAACCAAGTACTTCTCTGCCATTAAGTCTGATAGGCCTCTCGCTCGACTTAACTCCTCAACATAAAGAGCTTCGCGAACATTTCCGGTGACACAAAGTAAACTACTTAGCAGCTTGTAGGGAAAAATTCCTGAGTCTTCCAGAAATGATGTTTTGAACTCATCATTGACGCCCAAGAAATATCTCAAATCCTCATACTTTACAATGCATAGATGAAGACATAAAAGAGCGCCTTCGATTTTGTTTTGAAATAAAAACAAAACGGCGTAATTTGCAAGGATCTCAAACTCTTTCTTTCTATCTCCAATATCTCTGGATATAAGTAATGCTCTCTGCAAGCATACTTCAGAAACTTCATAATCTCCATGAATTAAATACGCATCTCCAAGGTTTGCAAGATCTGCTGCTTCCCCTTCTTTATCACCAATTTCAGTTTTAATAACAAGCGCTTTTTTGTAATACACTTCAGCCTTCTCGTATTTTCCGAGCGACTTAGATACATTACCTAGGTTTCCGTAACTTGAGGCTTCTCTTCTTCTGTCGCCAATTTCAGTTTCAATGACGAGCGCTTTTTCGAGATACTCTTTAGCCTTGTCGCAATTTCCGAGCGACTGAAACACAGTACCTAGGTTTCCGTAACTTGACGCTTCTCCTTTTCTGTCGCCGATTTCAGTTCTGATGACGAGCGCTTTTTCGTAATACTCTTTAGCCTTGTCGTATATCCCGAGCGACTTAAACAAGTTACCTAGGCTTCCGTAGACTGCTGCCTCTCCATTTCTGTCACCAATTTCAATTTTAATGACAAGCGCTTTTTCGTAATACTCTTTAGCTTTGTCGTATTTCCCGAGCGACTGAAACACATCACCTAGGGTTCCGTAGTCGGCTGCCTCTCCTTTTCTGTTGCCAATTTCAGTTCTGATGACGAGCGCTTTTTCGTAATACTCTTTAGCCTTGTCGTACTTCCCGAGCGACTAAAACACAGTACCTAGGTTTCCGTAACTTGAGGCTTCTCCTCTTTTGTCACCAATTTCAGTTGTGATGAAAAGCGCTTTTTCGAGATACTCTTTAGCTTTGTCGTATTTCCCGAGCGACTTAAACACAGTACCTAGGTTTGCGTAACTTGTGGCTTCTCCTCTTCTGTCGCCAATTTCAGTTGCGATGACAAGCGCTTTTTCGTAATACTCTTTAGCCTTGTCGTATTTATCGAGCGACTGAAACACAGTACCTAGGTTTCCGTAGTCGGCTGCCTCTCCTTCTCTGTCGCCAATTTCAGTTCTGATGACAAGCGCTTTTTCGAGATACTCATAAGCTTTGTGGTATTTCCCTAGCGAGTGAAACACAGTGCCTAAGTTTCCGTAGTCGGCTGCCTCTCCTTCTCTGTCGCCAATTTCAGTTCTGATGGCAAGCGCTTTTTCGAGATACTCGATAGCCTTTTTGTATTCCCCGAGTGACTGAAGCAACGCTCCTAGGTTTCCGTAGTCGGCTGCCTCTCCTCTTCTGTCGCCAATTTCAATTCTGATGACAAGCGCTTTTTCGAGAGACTCATAAGCTTTATCGTATTTCCCTAGCGAGTGAAACAAATTGCCTAAGTTTCCGTAGTTGATTGCCTCTCCTTCTCTGTCGCCAATTTCGGTTCTGATGACAAGCGCTTTTTTGTTATACTCTTTAGCCTTCTGATGTTTCCCGAGCGACTGAAAAACAGTACTTAGGTTTTCGTAACTTGAGGCTTCTCCTCTTTTGTCACCAATTTCAGTTCTAATGACAAGCGCTTTTTCGTGATACTCTTTAGCCTTTTCATATTTTCCGAGCGACTGAAACACAGTACCTAGGTTTCCGTAACTTGAGGCTTCTCCTCTTCTGTCGCCAATTTCAGTTGTGATGAGAAGCGCTTTTTCGAGACACTCTTTAGCCTTCTCGTATTTCCCGAGCGAATTTAACACATTACCTAGATTTACGTAAGCTACTGCCTCTCCTCCTCTGTCGCCAATTTCAGTTTTGATGACAAGTGCTTTTTCAAGATACTCTTTAGCCTTTCCGTATTTTCCGAGCAACTGAAACACAGTACCTAGGTTTCCGTAGTCGGTTGCATCTCCTTTTCTGTCGCCAGTTTCAGTGTGTACGACAAGCGCTTTTTCATAATACTCTTTAGCCTTGTCGTATTTTCCGAGCAACTGCAACACAGTACCTAGGTTTCCGTGGTCGGTTGCCGCACCTTCTGTGTCGCCAATTTCAGTTTTGATGGCAAGCGCTTTTTCGTAATACTCTTTCGCCTTGTCGTATTTTCCGAGCGACTGAAGCACAGTACCTAGGTTTCCGTAGTTGGCTGCCTCTCCTTCTCTGTCGCCAATTTCAGTTGCGATGACGAGCGCTTTTTCGTAATACTCTTCAGCCTTTTCGTACTTTCCGAGCGACTGAAACACAGTACCTAGACTTCCGTAACAGAATGCTTCTCCTCTTCTGTCGCCAATTTCAGTTGTGATGACAAGTTCTTTTTCGAGATACTCTTTAGCTTTGTCGTATTTCCCGAGCGACTGAAAGACAATGCCTAAGTTTCCGTAGTTGGTTGCCTCTCCTACTTTATCGCCAATTTCGGTTCTGATGACAAGCGCTTTTTCGTGATACTCTTTAGCCTTCACGTAATTCCCGAGCGACTGAAAAACAGTACCTAGGTTTCCGTAACTTGAGGCTTCTCCTCTTCTATCACCAATTTCAGTTGTGATGACAAGCGCTTTTTCGTAATACTCTTTAGCCTTCTCGTGTTTTCTGAGCGAGTGAAACACAGTTCCTAGGTTTCCGTAGCTTGAGGCTTCTCCTCTTTTGTCGCCAAGGTCAGTTCTGATGACAAGCGCTTTTTCGAGATAATCTTTAGCCTTGACGTATTGCCCGAGCGACTGAAACACAGAACATAGGTCTCCGTAAGCTGCTGCCTCTCCTTCTCTGTCGCCAATTTGAGTTCTGATGACCAGTGCTTTTTCAAGGTACTTTTTAGCCTTTCCGTATTTCCCGAGCGAGTGAAACACAGTACCTAGGTTTCCGTAGTCGGCTGCCTCTCCTTCTCTTTCGCCAATTTCAGTATGGATGACAAGTGCTTTATCGAGATACTCGATAGCCTTGTTGTATTCCCCGAGCGGCTGAAGCAACGCTCCTAGGTTTCCGTAACAGAATGCTTCTCCTTTTTTGTCACCAATTTTGGTTCTTATGGCAAGGGCTTTCTCAATATACTTTTTCGCTCTTACGCTTTCGCCAAGTTTATAGAAGATAATTCCGAGGCTTTCACAGCCGTTTGCTTCTCCGATTCTTTCACCAGTTTGTCTCTTTATAATTACTGCTTTTTCGTAAAGTTGTTTGGCTTCTGTAAACCTGTTTTGACTCTCAACTATCACTGCCAGAGCCATGCTAATATCTCCTTCTTCTACTAAAGCGCCAGACTCGTTGTATAGGACAAGTAGTTTCCTGCCGTATCTTTCTTCATTTATGAAGTCAGAGATACGAAGATTAGCGCAAAAGAGAAGTTTATAGATGGTGCTGTAACGAAGTGAAATAAATTGGTCTTCGCTGTTCTGGTTGGTGCTATTTAACAAAATCAAGCATTCGCTGAATATCTCAATGGCCTTCTGAACACGATCTGAGTTTAGCAAGAACACGGCAACAGGGATGGCTATGCTCACGTAGGTTATCATGGCTTCTACTGTTAGGGTTTCCATATTCATCCTTTCCTGTTATTTGATCCAAATTAGGGAAAAATAAATTACAGTGACACAAGTTAACCAATGTCTAGAAAATCTTGATTAGGTAGGGGGCATTACAGAATAATTTGGTTTTGTCGGTGAAATGAGTTGATAATGCAAATTGGCCACCGTAAAGCTGATCTATCCGAGCGTTAGCCCTTTATCAGAGTGGTTCATAAACTTGGGAAATCAATGATGTTGTACCGCCAGTATTAAATAAGTTTCAGTTTCTCGAAGAAAAAATAAATTAAAACATCTCTCTTCGTGAGTGCAGTGTCGCAGACCGACTTTTTTTCTTGTGCGAGATTCAGGCGATTTAAGAGATATAGAAACAGATAACGCCCTTTGGTAAAGTCTGCACCGTAGAACCACTAATATCCAAAGATTTCAGCGAAGGGTATCGCGGCTATGAAATGCTTGTGTACAGGTAGAAACTGAAA